TATATATATATATATATATATACACACGTATGCAGAAGGTTGATCCAAGTTTAACGAGCTGAACGAAGTTGATGAAGTTTCTCATTGAAGCAGCCATGCTTTTAGCTTTTACGCAGGAAAAACAATCCGCTCTTATTTTTTCGTCAGATCGTTATCGCGGCGTGGCTTCGATCGTGGCACAGAAGAGACGTGTACATCTGCGGCCGAATCGATCGTTTATTTGCTTGTTAATTAAAAGAGAGATAAAACGCACAAGTGGCGCGACAGGCGACAGAAACCCGATTTCTTCGCGTAAGGTAATATGGAAAAATGGAAATACATATACCAACGTCGACCTCGTCGCCACTGGAGCAAGGTTTATTCTATTTGTGCCCGAAGGACTATCTTGCATTATGTCCACGTCTTCTCAGCCACGTGTAGCCTAATCACATCGCTCAATCGCTCAGCTCGTTAATTAAACGAAGATTAAAAAGAATGGAATTGCAACAATTTTCTCCCGCGATTTTCAATTGAAATTTGAAACTACGTTATTTATAAAATCTTGTGAACATTTTTTTTTTTTTTTTTTAAGAAACACCTACTTGCGATGTGAATTTCTGCATCAGATCTCGATCGACTTTCTTCCAGAGTTTCCGCGTCGCGTCCATCTAAGTAAAATTCGCGATGCAATTTTAATTTTTTTGTTTTCACGGTTCCACCGGTCAATCGTGCCCTAGCGATGAATCGATAATCCGTCGAGCAAGTTACAATCTTATTCAACACACACGCTCAACGTCGAGAGTGGTTTCAACCGGTTACATTCCGAGAAGCATAGCGCGAGCATGCTCCAGTTCGCGACGTCGCGCGCTCACGATCCCGAGATCTTTAATTGTCGTGAGTTTACACGAAACGCGGCGAGATTAATCGCTTAAATTCTGACGACGACCTGAAACGGTCGCGGTGCAAACTTCGCGCGTGGCTTTGGCTTATTTGGTAGAAATTAGAATCGACTCGAACGTGATGTGTCAATTTATATATAGACGCATCTTTAACAACTTCCGAGTACTCGAGAAATTAAAAGTTAAAAAAAAAATTCTTCGCGATGAACAATAAAGACGTATCTGTTTCAGATTTCAGTTAAGTTGATTCATTGTGCTCTCAAGATTATGAAACTTGTAATTAATAAATTGACGAATTATACGAAGTTCGAGCTTTTCAACATTACCGAAAGTCGTGCGTTTCATTCGGAAATACACGGCAGAAAGTTATAGAGATATTTTGTATTCCCGATACTGATGCTTTCCTGGTTAATTGAACGGTTAAATTGACGCGAATATAATGTCACGGTGAATGACGAAAACTGCGAAACGGACCTCGATTACGTTTCCATATGCAGCGAGTTTATGGAAATCGGGTGAATGAAGAAGAAGAAGAAGAAGAAGAAGAAAAAAAAAGAGAGACGAAAACGTAGAGCATCACCATAAAAAAGATCTTTAATTCGTGAAGATTCAGTACATTCATGTACATCGTTTATGATAAAGTAACAGGAGCATAGACGATCATGAACTGACTGCGTCCTCTGCTTCTATCGAACGTGTTCTCTAAGCTCGATCTGGCGAACAAGAGAGAAGACGGTTCATTCCTTCTCGCCATCATCTCTCAAAATAACGCAATAGAATCGAAGTACCTAATTGTGCCACTTATGCGAAACAGAAAACACAAAGATATTAACAACGTTAATAAAGATACAATAAAACAAAACGTAGTATAAGCATCGTCTTCCAACTGTGTTGTGCGTTATACCCAGGCATAATATTCTCCGTCAAACGTCTTAATCGATCCATGATCAGCGATGATCGATCTCAATAAAAATATATGCCAAATATCAATTGTCCCTCGGCTGATATAATCCCTCCTTTTCGTTTCCGTGCAACTTTATTCAAATCTACATTCATTTCGTTGGTTAAACGTTAACATTTATAAGCAAAAATTTCGAATATTCAATCTTCGTGATGTCTTTTTAGCTAGATAACATTTCGCTCTCTGAATAAAAACTATATATATATATATATATATACAACAAGAATGCTTCAACGACTAGAGTGGTGAATTTTTCGAACAAGAACTACGAATTTCAAATTTCCCGCGAACGCGTGAAAACCTGCAGCACGTGAACTT